AATGATGGTGAACCATTCGTGTTCTGGTCTCAGGGCCTGGAAGATAGTTGACGGATCTGCCACTAGCGGGGCCAGTTTTTCGATGTGTTGGTTGGCCACACGAAAATCGACCGTGAGGCGCCAGGTGCCATTTGCCTTCCTCACTGGCCACACTGGACTGTTTGACACGCTATGTTTACACATTTGCTTGTTGGACTCAGGGGAACCTTGCAGTATTTAGCCACATTAGTTGGAATGCAGGTGAGCTCTGCTCCTGTGTCTATTAGGAATTCAACATCATGCTCTCCCAATTTTATACTGGCATAAAGTCCGGATGGGTTGGGCTTCTTCTTCTGATGTCTCATCACTTGCAGATGTATCAACCATTACTTGAGATGTAGTGCTTGGAGACACCACTGGTGGTGCTGCACTGGGATGAGTCACTGATGTAGTACTCACAGCCACCACTAGGGGAGCACTCATCTTTTTGCTTCTTTTTTCCATTGTGGTCTTTAATTCTTCCATCAGTGTGAGGCACTGTTCTTTCAGATCCTTCTTCTGACCTTCAGCAGGATCTAGCCGCTCTGCTGGCATGGGCGCTTGTCAGGAGGGGGTGCAAGAGGGACAGGTGGAAGAGCAGTCACAGGCAGGGCTGGTGTTGGACGAGGAATAGGTGTCACCCATGTGATTGCTCCACCCCCCAGGGGTCGCTAAGCGTTTCCTGCATTCGAAGCCATTTGCAGCTGATTTGTTAACAAAGCAATATGATTTTTATTCATCTCGGCTCTGCTATTCACTAAACTCCCTCAATAAAGCATCTCTCTCCTCTTCTGCCCTCACACGCGCCGCATCGGCACTCGCACGCGCAGCATCGGCACTCGCACGCGCAGCATCGGCACTCGCACGCGCAGCATCGGCACTCACACGTGCAGCTTGCTCTTCTGCCAGCTCTCTCTCTCTGTCAGACAGCTGTTTGTTCTTTTCACGGACAACATCAGTTAAAGCAGCAACTTGTTCATGCAAACTTTTCTGTTCTCGGCCAACATTAGTTTTTGCAATCACGTCTTTCCGACGACGAATCTGAGCCAGCACAACAAGTGTCCACTGCAGCTCCGATGCGCTGTGCTTTCCCCCATGCTCTTCGCATGTCATCCAAAGACCAAATGCCACCTGAATCTGTATTGATATCATACTTCTCACAGATGTCAGCAGCTGTCGACTTCAAACACCAAGCTGTGTCCAGATATTCACTGAGATTTTCCATCATAAACTCCACATCGACATCTGGAGGCTCCATTCCTCCATTATCAGTAGTCGGCCTTGCAGAAACATTAATTCTACTGCCAAATTTCCTAGATAAGGCCATGTTTGATGGAACAGCCACAGATTATGAGCTGTAAACTCTGTTTTTTCCCGAACAGTAAATGGCGAAAGCACTGTTTCATTCTCCTGTTTTTTCCCAAACAGTAAACGGAAAAACTCTTGCAAGAAAATGCTGTTTCTATCCCGTTACAGCAATGGAAAAACTTCTTTATAGTCGACTTATCTTTTTTTTTTGAGCTCACAACAAATACAGATATCTCACAAATAGTTATGTTTACTTCTTCTTCATCAGACAACTCTATGATCGGGTGTTTGAGCAGGAGAGAGGCTATTTTCAACCTTCAACCAAAGACAGGAGGAAGATCTTACCTCAGTTGATTTGCGCGCTTAATTGTTGTCTTCATTCATCCAGTATTAATTAGTCTCTCGGCCTTGTCTCT